TATTCTATTCCTTTGGCCTAGAACTTTTGAGGATAAAATTCTAAATAATCCAAGTGGTTTCTCTTTGTGACCTTGCTTCATGGGTTCAAGTCATGGAGGCTTCCCATGTAGGTGTAGGTTGCGTAGACCTTCATCAAAACCATCAATGTTGGAAGCCTCGGTTTCTCTTTTTTAACAAATGAGTACCTATTTCTTAACGTATCTCCTAATGAACACCCATGAGCAATGATGTGTTTATCAAAATTGAATTAACTCGTTTATGATTTGATAGCTTGGTTTCTTTCAGCTATTCCTCGTTCAGTGGAGGATCCTTTGACCCAAAACAGTTCTGCCAAATATTTTATTCCCGAATGTTCAAACAAGGACAACAAAGATAATGGTTTAGAATGCACTTATGGGACTAGCTGGGGAAATAGTTTTGATATAGCTTCAACAGCCTGTGGAAAAGTCAAAATTTTGTTCTACTGTGATCATGCCAATGGACAACCTGACTTCCATATTCCGAGTTTGGATGAAGTTCTGAAGTATGTGGAGAATAAATATCTTAGATCATATAGAATCATTGGGCCACAATTTTCGGGGATGGAGTTTTTGAAAGAATTGTGTGACAGATATTTGGAATTAAGTACTGAGACTACTGAGATACCTCTCACAATAAAATCCTCTGGTGCAAGCACTGGTAATTCAGAAAAGGATTTGGATAAAATGGTTCCAAGTTCTGGATCTTCAAGTTCACTTGATTTGGTGGTAGTTCATCAGCAACCTACAACTCATGTTAAAAATAGGCCCTTTCACAGAATCAATGACATAACAAAAGATACCGAGAAAGTGAGCATTTCATTGCTAGATGAAACTGGAAGTGAGCACCTGCCATATTTTGTTTATATACCACAAAATATAATTTACCAGAATGCATATGTACATGTCTCATTAGCTCGGATTGCAGACGAGGATTGCTGTTCCAGTTGTATAGGAAATTGTCTTTTGTCGTCAGTGCCTTGTGCGTGTGCTCGTGATACCGGGGGAGAATTTGCCTACACACCTCAAGGGCTGCTGAAAGAAGAATTTTTAAGAGCTTGTATATCTATGAATCAAGAACCACAAAATCACTACCATTTTTACTGCCAAGATTGCCCAATAGAAAGGGCTAAGAATAGATACAGGCCTGAAAAATGCAAGGGCCATTTAGTGAGGAAGTTTATCAAAGAGTGCTGGAGAAAATGTGGCTGCAACATGCAGTGTGGAAACCGGGTTGTACAGCGAGGCATTACCTGCAAATTACAGGTAAGATTGGTTAATCCCTTCTTTTCTGCAAGCATGCAGGAGAAGTTCGGAAAGAGTTTGATCCTGATATGTTTCTGATCTTATGTATGGAACTCTTTCATTTCACTGTTTTTTTTTTTTTTGTCTTGTTTGGACAACTTCATTTTTTTCTTTAAATATAGCATCTTATAGCTGTTTTGTTCTACTGTTTTTTTTAATGCTTGCTTTGACAACTTCAATTTTTTTTCCTTTTAATGAACCAACTTGTTATAGTTGGGCAGTGCCAGCTTCTTGGTAGTCACTGATCACGTTGACTACTTCTGAAAAATAAATTAGTAAATATATCATGCTACATTTCCAGCTTCATTTTTTGATTCTTTCCCTATTTATAAGAAGACATCTGGTGACACGATTTGTAGCATATATAATCACTATTTTCAGTGATTCAACATTTTCTTTTAGTTTTTTGTCTCAGTATTATTTGTATCCCCAGGTGTTCTTCACAAATGATGATAAAGGTTGGGGTCTACGTACACTGAAAGATTTGCCTAAAGGTGCTTTTGTGTGTGAATATGTTGGAGAAATTTTGACCAACATGGAATTATATGAAAGGAATAAGAGACGCCCTGACAATGACAGACATACATATCCAGTGCTACTTGATGCAGACTGGGGTTCAGAAGGAGTTCTGAAGGATGAAGATGCACTTTGTCTGGATGCAACAAATTATGGAAATGTTGCGAGGTTCATAAATCATAGGTGATTGTTCTCTTCATATATCTGTTTCCCTATGTACTTTATGTATAAAAGGATGTAGGCATATATGCTCATATATCATCCCTGTTATATTACAACAGCCCTTTTGTGTGCACAAGATGTAATACTAACATATCACTTACATAGAATCTTTTTGTTGAAGAAAAACATTGCTAATCTTTTCAGATAAATCTAACTTCCTCAGTTCAACCATTTCTTCCAACAAGTTACTCTGACTATTCTCCTGTAATCAAATTATTGAGAAGAAAATGTGGAGGAAGGTGCATGTACAAAGAGTTCTATGCATCCAATCATCCGACTGGAGGCACATATGTTGGACCAACTTGCATACAAATCCGATGGTTTGGAATTAATGTTAGTAGACTAATATATAAGTTATACAGCTTTGGATACTTTGATATACCTTTGAAAGATAAGAGAGGAAGAGTGAGAGAAAAACATTGCCTAATTAACTAATCTTCAGGTCCATGTTTCTTAAGAATGATGACATCTGGTATTATAATGATCCTAGACAAACACAAACACTTGTTTTGGCTCACTCCCCCTTCTGTTTGTTATAATTTATGGCAAACCGTTGTAAGAGAGCTCTATATTAGTTGGTTGGCTTCAATGTGATCTCCAAATTTACTATACTATTTGGCACATTTTTATATTTTTCTTCCCAGTCTAATCTAAACAATACATTCTCAGTTTTCCTTTTTCCTTTTTGCTATTTTCAATCCGGATTTTTGCTCAATGTAGGTGCTTTGATTCAAACGTGCTTGAGATTCCAGTTGAGGTGGAGACCCCCGATCACCACTATTATCATGTATGATTGACTTGCTCCTGCTCCTGCTGCATGTGTTTTTGTGGTTACAATGCTGCTATTAATATCCACGCTCTAGATAAGACATCTAAGAACTAGTCTGTGCTTCTTTTATGCAGCTTGCCTTTTTCACTAAAAGAAAAGTGGAAGCCATGGAAGAACTTACATGGGTAAGTTGACTTTATTTTTTCTTATTGGTATATCAACTATCAAGGTCCTTCATATGAAAACCTTTTTGAATTTACGCCGTCTGTGACAAAATAATGACAAGAGGTGGCCTTTGATTTGGACAAACCATTAATATTGTTTTTCATAGCCAAGTGCTGGTAAAACACATTTTCATAGCAGAATCAACCCTAGATTTGCAAAGCTTTAATCACCATATGATTGAAGACTAATTTGCGTAAGCATTGAACTTCATTTATGCATTTAATGATGTAGAGCCGAATTCACCATGTCTTTTTACTTTTATCTTAGTCCTCTCTAAACTAATCAAGTCTCTAAACTGGGCAAGTGGCCTCATTTACAAACACATGATGTATACATAGAGAGACAAAGACCTACAAGTACAAAACTATGAATTGAGTCGAACTTAGTATGTTGAGCCTCAGCTCGAGTTAACTATCATAGGGCTCGATTGCCAAGCATGGATTCATACTTAAGCTTTGCTTGGTTCAAAAGATTATATGCTCATGTTTCGCTTTGGTCGGCTCATTTTTTTTACTACAAACTCAAAGTTGGGCTCAGGCTTGAGTTAATACAAAAACTCAGGCCTAATAAGACTCCAACCCACAATCTCTTGATAAGAAATGAAATGTCTTATCCATTGAGCTTGCTACTCTAAACAGATATTTTGTTATAAAAACGAATCTAGTTCGAGTCTAGTGAGTTAAGCAGCACATTGCTCGGGCTTAGCTTGAAGAATAAACGATTTCAAAAATTTGATCATATTCTATTTATTCTTTAATATGAACAAGCTTGAATGAGCCAAAACTGTTGAACCAAACTTAAGTGGCTCAATTTGTTTAATAGCCGTACCAATTACCCATAATAGAGGGAACTCAACACCATGTTTGAATTTCAATTTCAGCAATTCCTTCCCATGAAAGGAATGCCTACTCCACTCCTTCTAAATTTACCACTAGAGATATAACAATGTCGCACTACCATTTTCCCGATTACTTTGCACTCTTGTTAGTTTTTCTCAAGGAGGGAAGTTTTTACAGTTCAACATTACAGAATAAGTTGCAATCCATTGTCTCTTGTCAACTAGTTCACCCTATGCTTGAGATTGTGGACCTATCTACTTCTCCGGAGGGGAAGATTTGGTAGTTTCTTTAATACACTAGTAATAAATTGATCTTCTAGTTTTTACTTGCAAAACGTTATAGTTTCTAGTTTGTTACCACTATGTATATAGTGGTAACAAACCTTATTTTCTAGATTTGTAGAATGGCATGGGAGTTGTTATCCCTTGTGTCGAATTTTAACTCGACCAACACACATTGTGGCAATTGGGCTTGTCAACTGTTATCATTTTTGCATGAATATTTCCAATTAATTTGCAATGGGAGTGAAGAGGGCCTTTGGTTAGATCAAGGATTAAATTTTGATAAGCACTTATTCTCTCTTGATTTATCTTCTATTAGGTCAAGGATCAAAATTTTGTTTCGATGCATAGTCTCGAACTTCAATCAACTCGAAAACAGAATGGAAACATTGGAAAAAATTGAAGATCTTTTTTTGAAACAATATGAAACGTTGGCCAAAACATCCTGAAATAGCTCTAAACATTGAGAAACATTTCAAAACATGGAATATTGATATTTAATCATTGATTTGTTTTAGTTTCCAAGGAAATTGATATGTTTCGGTAGAAACAAAACGAAATTCAATCCTTGATTGGGGTTTACTTACATGATTCACAAATAGACTCATTAATTATTTTGACCTTTCTTATTTTCCTACACTATCAATCTTAACATTCGTATTTCAGTTGTTCTTAGTTTTTGAAACTTGTTGTTTTCTATCTATAAACATCTTTCTAAAAAAACAATCTATAAGATAAAGTATGGTTATTTTAGAATTTTTACCTTTTAGTTTAAGAGGCATACATCGATCATATTCATCATACACTCAATTCATCTGACTTTAGTCTATGGCAACATCTTCTCCTACATCCTACTCCTTATCAATAATTGACATCGAATGAAAAAAAATTTCTCTTTGGTATTTCTTGATCATCCATCTTCACTATCTATCCATTTGGGTTTCTATTTTCGCTAAATTTATATTCTATGCATTCAATTTTAATTTTACTTATCTTAAATTCTTTTGACTCTAAAGTTTCTATCCAAATTTGTAATCTAGTGTGGGTTCCTATTTTATTTCATCAATCAATATGATATCATTGCTAGTGTCGTGGGCCTCATGTAATGTGTCTAGTTAATCTATCCATAACCAAAGCAAAAAGAAATGGAGTTAAAGTTAATCAATGATGTAAGCCTACAATGATTGAGATTCACTAGTTTCCTTTGTAGTATGTCTCACACTACAACCGCATACATGTTCTTACTCATACAAATATGCAGGGGAAGCTAATTGAGCCCACTTTTGTTGGGTCGAGTACTAGAATAATAAGGGGCCTAGTTTAAACTTGATGGTTTACTTGAATGGATAGGATCATGACCCATCGATGTGATTTCGGGAACCAAAACATTGGTGTTTGGTACCGTGTATGGTATATCAAAAATTCCCCCCATTTATCTCTTCACAAGTCTAGGGCTTTGACTGTGAGGGAAAGATTACTATTCCCTATGGAGGATTCAGATCTAGCCTTAAAGTTGATTCTCTAGGGAGGAGAAAGCATAGATCCGATGTGTGTGAAAGCAACAGTAATACGTGATCGCACTATAATTGATGTTTTACGTCTATTGTTGAATGAGAATTAGGGCTTATCGATCTAAGAAGAGAGTTTAAAGAGTCTAGGGGCGTTCATCTTTGACGTTATCTGTGAGAGGAAGAGTTGGATAATGGCCTATTCGAAGGTGCCAAAGCTAACAAGTTGGAGGGTTTAGTGGCATGTATGTGAAGAAAGAGTTTTCTTCTTTAGAAGCTTCGAGTTTCTCTAAGGATGACTTAGTGGTTGCAGATAGTAAATAACACAAGTGATTTGTTAATGCGAACCCAACTTTTCCACGAGGATTGATTTAATTAATCTTGAATTAATTCACTCAAAATCAAGCTCACGGTGACCCCAAATTCCTAAACCCAATATGCACAACTATGAGTGGATGAATATTCAATTAATCAAGACCACAAACACATAATGTGCATGTGTGCTCACAATCACAAGTGTATATGATAAACTGTAAATAACACGAGTGACTTGTTGACACAAAAATCCTCGAGAAAAATTACAGGAAATCTTCTCAGTTTATCAAATCTTAATCTACTGCTCGTTAAGTCCAATACCATGGTTACATATTCCTTTTCTTGTTGTCTCTCCGCCAAAGGGCTTCCTTCGACATCCAGTATAGCTTTACTTGGACCTCCCCGTCGCATGATTCATCTAGGCCTCGAGTGATTATGGGTATGTCAATAATCCTTGATATACATACATTAATGGGTTTATCAAATCATCAAGATCTTTAACTCCAATTTGTGTGGTCGGGTAGATTATCTAGTCGTGGCCTTTAGGGTCTTAGTGATCTAGGTTGTGGTGGAAGTTTTCAACGTAGAAGTATTATTTTTTCTCTTGAAAATACTAGAGGCTTAACCTAGGTGTGGGAAAGGCTTTCCCTATTTATAAGTTTGGAATAAGGGTAGTCTAAGTAAATAAGAAAACTCAGATTCGTGAACGACCGCTCAATCGTGAGAGGGCGGTTATTACTGGAGGGAAAAAAAATATTTCAAACACGACTAAGGCAGGCACCGCTAGAGTAATCATGGCAATTGCTTGAGTGACTATGGAGACCGCTCGAGCGAGCCCTATACTACCATCCGTAACCTTTTCTAATTTCCTTCCCTCAGTTATAAAGAGATCGCTCTAGCGAAAGTTAGTGAGTATAGATCGGTCCCTACAAGTTTTTAAGCATAAAATCATGCAAAAACTTGTCCTCTTAAGCTTTAAAAGGTGTTGCTCAAAGAGTGGTCCGATTGTGTCTCAAACTATGTTTTCA